TTATATCCACAAGCAATTTATAGTGATTAACCTGAATAAATTGGAATTGTAAACTGCCATATCTAATTATTTCATATTGTTTGTTACGTATTTCAATAAAAGAGTTTAAAGTGTACTTTGAGTTAGTTATTTTTTATCAAAGAATTGTTTGTATTCATGAACATTTAAATTGTTCCCATTTTGTAAGTAATGATTGTTTCATTAAAATAAATTCCTAAGATTTAAAATGCTTATTATTACAATATGCACATTTTTAAGATATATATATAACCAAACTGAATTACTCAGAGAAACAATATAGAGCTCTGATTTCCCTGAATCCTCGATAACACTGGACAGTACATAATTCTTCATCTTTAGTATAATATTCAATATAATCAATGCCTAATACTTCTTACAGGTAAAAATAATATATTTTTGTCAAGATTTAAGCATTCTGATCTACCACAAATATTACTTTTGCCACTGTATTATTTTTTCCTTCTATAGAATTACAGTGCAAATTTTGTATTTTTAATCATTTTATATTAAATTACACATTAGATATCTAAATATAATTATTTTATGTATATAGGTAAATGTTTTATTGTGCTTCTATTGTGTCTAACTGGAATACATGTATTTCAAAATAAATTAAAAGAAAGGAAAATGGTTTTCTGGTGTGAGAAAAGTATAGCATCAATTTGTTAGACCAGGTATGCATCAATAATATAACTTTAATCAACTTCATGTGCTTCTTTAATTTTTAAATATTTATTGCACACTTACAAAGTCAGATACTATGCTAGCAATACCAAAGATAGGCACAGTGTCTTCCTGAACAAAACTGGAAAAGGAAAGAAAACATTACTCAAATAAGCAGACCAATGAAAGGTAAAATGGTATTTTTGACAGATGCTACAAGTTTATATACAATCCTATGAAGATTTATAAAATGGGTATTTAACCTAGAAATTATTTTCTTTTCATTTATAAGAAACTACTATAATTTATTTTTTACCTGAAACTAAAACCTAGCCGAACCTCAAACATTTGTTTCCCATAGCAACCATCTATGTTAAAGAGTAGACAAAGTAAGGGAAAATCTTACGCAACAAAACTATTATCTTAACTCTTAGGGGAACTTAAAATCTATCAGGTATAAATTCACTAGTGTAAATATAACGTCAATTTTAAAGATGATGAAAGTATCTTAAATGTAATAAGCAGAAAATAAAACTTGTTAATTAGAGTTAAATTTCTAAAATAGCCATGGTACTTTAAATACTTAAATAAAAGGAGACTAAAGAACTAAAATCATAAATGCATCCTTTTAAGCCTTTTTCTCCAGTGTTACTCTTAAACTTGCTAACACGAATCAGATCCCCTTATCAACCAAAACATCATCATTTAGAGCTTTTTGTTTGTTTGTTTACATTTTCCTACTTATACTAGAATTTTAAAAGTTAAGTTGCTGTTTCCTGTTTCTCGTTCAAATTCCATTCCAGGAATGGCAGGCAGTTGCTCCACTCTCCTCAGTCATTCACCATCCAGGTGGCTTTTATCACGTTTCTCTTCCATCCCCTGGTTATGGTTCTTATCTGCATTGTCAAAGCTGGGCTTCAGATATGTCCACGTCCAGCTCACAAGAAGGCAAGTGTAGTTGTGTACCTCTAGGGCTTTAAAACGCAGACCCAAAAGTAACATAGGTTATTTCTGCTCCAGTTACACTGAAAATAACTTAGTCATGTAACCATATTGCAGGAAGGAGAGAGCTGGGAAACAGTCTCCAGCTGGTGGGCAAATGCCTAACTAAAAGTTTATTTCTTTAAAAAAAGAAGAGAAACAAATATAGGTGCACATTTAGCAGTTTCTCCCATGAAGCTCCCTCATACTAAATGTAATTCTGCTTAAAATATTTATCTATCATCAGATAGATGACCTTTTAAAAGAAAAAGACCACCAAGATTTGCCCTTACCATCTTAACTTTGTCACCTAACATGTTAATTCATTTTATAAATATTTATTGAGGAATTTATATATTGGTAAAGTAGTAGGTGTGTAGGATATAAAGAATTATATGTTAGAGTTCTAGACTTCCAGAAGTTTGCCATCTATTTGAAACTGATATGTGCCAATTGCAGTGCCAGGTGATTTAACAAGTTTGCCATTGAAAGAGTTTAAAATACATCACTCTAGCATATTAAGTATTTAAGTTAAAGGCGCTTTAAAAAAATGCAAAAAGATAAATCTGACATTCGTGCTGTTTTTTAAAAGCAGATGAAATTCCCATGTGAAAGATGCCCTCCTAGACTAGAAAGATGCAACATACTTCAACGACAATAAATTGAAACGGAATTTTGAATAGACATTGTGGAAAAAAAACTCTTACCTTAGGATCTCCACAATTTAGTTGCTTCTTAACTTACTACTCCATGTCCAATTCAGCATGTAAGTAATTGAATTTAACTTCTTTTCTGGAATTTCATTTTCTTATGAGGGCTCCTGTGCCATGTAAAACTTGTACTATGCTTTTCTCCTGTTAATCTATGTCATGACATTTTAATTCCCAAACCTAGCTGAGATTCTAAGAGAATGAAGGTGGAACTTTTCCACTTCTACATTTTGTGGCAACCCGGATAGGACCCTAAAAGCCTGGGATATCCTCCTGTGTCACAGCCTGCAAATGGGATCCTGAGAAGGCTGACAAGTCAGCAGAAGGTAGGAATTCTTACCAGAATCAGCTCTCCTGGATCTCTTCTACAGTGGCCAGTTAAGAGGGAAGTAAAAAAATCTTTCTTTGTTCATTCTTTTCCAAATTTGGATCGGCAGGAAAAAAACACAAGACTTGATTCTTTGAAATGTGACTCTCTTGTGAATTTGGTTCTTGGTACTCACAAATTATTGATCTACAGCCTTCCAGGAATAGTCCTTGTTTTCTCTTGTATATGACTTGTTATGTGATTTGTCATAAGGAGGAAACACATAATAAAATGTTCCTTTCATCTTGAGAGCTTGGCTTTGTGACCAGTGAAAATACTCTCTCTGCTTTCTAGCACCTGGGGGGTTACAAGTTATTGGGCTTGCATCAGGTGGCTTGCCAGCAGACTTGACCCCAAAATACAAAGTGCCTTTTTGCCTGAACATGCCAGCAGTCCTTGGTGTTTGTCGTAATGAAGGTACTTGTACCTTCATTGCCTTGGTAGCAATGAAGGTACTCAGTTTCTAAGACTATATTTAAGAGAGCATTTGGATCTTGAGAGAAACAGTATCTTTTGCACCCCTGGAGAGAAACTTCTGGCATCCATGGTTAAACCACAAAAGGCTTTTTGGTTTTCAGCCATAAAAAGGGCTTACTGGTAGCCGGGCGTGGTGGCACATGCCTGTAAGCCAAGCTACTCAGGAGGCTGAGGCAGGAGAGTCTCTTCAACCTGGAAGGCGGAGGTTGTGGTGAGCTGAGATCGTGCCATTGCATTCCAGCCTGAGCAACAAGAGTAAAACTCAATCAGAAAAAAAAACAAAAAACAAAACAAAAAAAAAGGCATATTGGGTTTGACTCACACAGTAGGTATACTTTTAGAGATTTGGACTTTTGTATCCAAAAGTTTTGTTGTTGTTTGGTGGTTGTTGTTTTTGTTGTTGTTTTTTTTGTTTGTTTGTTTTTGTTTTTTTAGATCACTCTCATCCTAAACAGTCTTACTGGTACCTATGGGAAAATTTGACTTAAAAGAAGAAAATAAGCATTTATATAAATTAAGCATTTTTTTTCAGAAAAATAGGAACTAACCTAAAAGTTTTTCAAATTCACATTACCAGGGATAACCTTTGGCAAATAAAAAAGCTAGTTTAAGTTGCTGGTTTAATTGAAACAGGCACATCTTTAAAGTTGTCAACATTAAATACAATGCAGACATACAACTTCTTCTACCTGAATTTACTAATCAAAAAACATATGTATATTTAAGATTATAAAAGTATAAATTCAGCCTGAGAATGACATGTAAAATGAATAAATTTCTTGATGTATGTCAAACATATCAGTTTAAAAAGTTTTGTTTTCTTTTGTTTTTGTTTTGTTTCTGGAGACAGTCTTGCTCTGTCAGGCAGACTGGAGTGCAATGGCACGATCTCGGCTCACAGCAACCTCTGCCTTTTGAGTTCAAGAGATTCTCCTGTCTCAGCCTCCTGAGTAGCTAAGACAGGCACCCACCACCAGGCCCAGCTAATATTTGTATTTTTAGTAGAGACAGGGTTTTACCATGTTGACCAGGCTGGTCTGGAACTCCTAACCTCAGGTGATCCACCTACCTCAGCCTCCCAGAGTGCTAGAATTATAGGTGTGAGCCACCAGGCCCAGCCAAAAAAGGTGTTAAAAAGCCGTATGTTTTGACTTTTAGGTTCCTCGCTTCTGTGATTTTTAAAATACTTGCCTGATTTATCTGCAGGCTAAAATAACTTAAGATAATGACTAGCTTTGTTTAGTGTCTCACAAAGTTTTCAGGACCAATTTAAACATAATTATCAAAACCAAGTAAATTAATACATATAAGAAGTGGGATAAACATTTATAAATAGAATTTTAAAGTGACTATGTTCTATAAAATATGTCCTCTTAAAAATTCAAAATCTTTGGTAACTTAAAACCTTAAAGTTATACTGTTAAATTAAATGATGAGTATTTGTTGAATCACTAAATTATCTTCAAATAAGACATAATGTTGAAACATTAATTGCTAAACATAAGTTTAATCTATATAGTTTGGCTTCTTATTGCAGAAGAAAAAAACATATTTGGATCTGTTGCTAAAAATGTCCTGTGTTGTACTGAAAACTTGTGCCCTGAGGAAGCGTATATTTTTAAAAATTATAAAGTAGATCAGGCATGGTGGTTTACACCTATCAGCACTTTGGGAGTCCAAAGCAAGAGAATGGCTTGGAATATGAGATGAGCCTGGGCAGCATAGCAACACCCCATTTCTTAAAAAAAAAAAAAAAAAAAAAAAAAAAAAAAAAAAAAAAGAAAAGGAAAGAGGCCCCCATCGTGGAGCCCCAGGAGAGCGCGGGGACCAAAGTCCTGCTGCGGAGTTTCGCACTGCGCTCCTTCCCAGGCAAGCTTAGAAGCAAAATTAAAGAGACATCAGATTCTGGGCTGTTGCGGGATATTCTGCAGAACCCTGTGAAGCATCCTGTGTGTGTGAAGCACCCGCCGTCAGCCAAGCATGCCCAGTGCTTTCTCCGAGAGCTCAACAGGAAGCACGAGGCTGTCCACGCGCAGCCTCTGGACGAGCTGGACGAGGCGCTGGCGCAGTTCCTGCCGGCCAGGGAGTGCCCCCTGGGCCACTGGAGCTATCTGCTGCCCTTGGGAAACTCGGTCACCTCTCCGAGAGCACAGCCATCAACCCGCAAGGCACCAGGGGCCTGGTCACATGGCCGCCGCCCTCTACCCTGCAGCGCGGGCCATCCAGAGCCCGGCAGCCTTCACTCACGGGGCCGTCCCAGAGCTTGGCAGTGGTGGTGCTGGCCTCACAGGCCCGGCCGTCGGCGAGACGTGCTGTCCCCGCGCAGGCATCTTCGGCGACTGTCACAGCCGAGTCGTCGAGCAGCTCCACGGGCAAGTCCTTCTCAACGGCCTCTCGTTAGAGGCAGACGTCACTGTCAATGGAGACAGCCCCCGGGCGACAGTGACCCAGCCGGACGGGACTCCGCTCTCGGCCTTCCCGCCAGACACTGTCCTCACAGCCGGCCGTGCCCAGCCCCGGGCACCCTGTGCGGGCGGTGTCCTTGTAGCTCCATCCAGCCTCTGGCTCCGGGAGAAGACGCGCTGTGTTGCCCGGAAGCCATCGTGTCACTGGTCGGGGTCCTGCGGAGGCTGGCTGCCTGCTGCGAACACCAGGGGGCCCCTGAGGTCTACGCGGCCTTCACCGTCCGCAACGCGGAGACGGGCCGGCTGTGCACCGCCGAGCTAGGCCCGGCCGGGATCCGCCGGAAAGCGGAACCTTCGTCAGGACCGGAAACTGTTTCCCTACGAAGAGCACTTGGAGGTGGCAGTTCCGACACTCGGACTGTAGGCCTCACGCACGCTTTCCAGCGAGACTGTGAGCCTCAAGTCGCTACGGGCGGAATTTGTATATGGGAAAGCGGGTAAAACTTACATTGGACTGGAATGTTTGAAGAACGTTAAATTCCAAATCAGGAACCACAAACTACCTTCTAATAAGGTATCAGCTGTCTAAGCGTGTGCGTTTCCCCTTTCTGCCAGCAGTTCCTGTTCTTAAGAAAATCACCATAGGCCGGGCTTGGTGGCTCATGCCTGTGATCCTGGCACTTGGGGCGGCAGAAGCAGGTGGATCACGGAGTCAGGAGTTCAAAACCAGCCTGACCAACATAGTGAAGCCCCATCTCTACTAAAAATCCAAAAAAAAATTAGCCAGGTGTCGATGACGCATGCCTGTAATCCCAGCTACTCAGGAGGCTGAGGCAGAAGAATCGCTTGAACCAGGGAGGTGGGGGTTGCAGTGAGCAGAAATCATGCCATTGCGCTCCAGCCTGGGCAACAGAGGAGACTGTGTCTCAAAAAAAAAAAAAAAAAAAAAAAAAAAAAAAAAAAATGCCGAAGCGGGCAGGTGGATCATGAGGTTGAGGTCAGGAGATCGAGACCATCTGGCCAACATGGTGAAACCCCGTCTCTACTAAAATACAAGAAATTAGCCTGGAGTGGTGGCATGCTCTTGTAGTCCCAGCTACTCAGGAGGCTGCGGCAGAAGAGTCGCTTGAACTGGGAGGCGGAGGTTGAAGTGAGCTGAGATCGCGCCACTGTATTCCAGCCTGGTGACAGGGCAAGACTCCGGAAAAAAAGAAAGAAAGAAAGAGAGAGAGGAAGGGAAGGAGAGAGGGAGGGAGGGAGGAAGGAAGGAAGGGAGGGAGGAAAAAGAGAAAGAAATTAAGGAAAAAAGAGGAAGGAAGGAAGGAAAAAGAAAATTAGACAAAAATCTGGTTCCAAAAAACAGCATTTTCTTTGTGCAAATATGTATATATCAAGTAAAAAATAAGAAACTGTATAATAAGTTATTTACAAATCTAAAAGACAGTTCACAACTGCTTACTTTCTAGTTTTCTAGTTTTCACTAGAAATTGAAGTCATAAAAGTTAAAGAATTCTAGTTAATATGAGTTTAAAACTACTAGAAGCATTCATGGAATCAACTCTATATACAAAGTGCACAAGAAAATAAGATATATTTTGTATAATTTTTTAAAAAACTGACATATAAAAGATGTATTTTGTCAAAAAACAGTTATTTTTGTTTTAATTTGGAAGTTATTCAGAATGAACTGATAAAGAATAAAAACTTAATGGTTCTAAAAAGCGGAAAGAGAACAGATGAGAGGATCTTACATAATTAAGCTAACTACACTAAATAAACTTATTAGAAGGTTTTTAAAATGAACCTTAATATCAAGTAAACTGAAGTAAAACTAGAATTTGGTCTTCTCTATTGAAAGGATAAATTTTTCTGGGAAAATTGATCTATTCTTTACGAGAGATTGTAAAAGTACTTTTCTATACATTTTAAGTAATTTTCTTAAGAAACAAAGATTTTATGTCTTGTTAAAATAATTTCCTGTGCTTTGTATTGTCCTTATTTGGTCTTTAATTACTTAAGAAAACTATGTTTTCTCAATATTAAAAGAGGAAAGCTATTTATTTACAACTATGTAACTTTTCTATATTTAGTTCTGAAATTTTTTGGTCACTTTGGGATTTGTCTTAGTTTATTTTGTGCTGCTATAACAGAATACCACAAACTGGGTTATTTATACACAATAGAAGTTTACTTAGCCCACATTTTTGAAAGCTAAGAAGTTCAAGATTAAGGATTGAATCTGGTGAGGGCCTTTTTGCTATTTTACAACATGGTGGAAGGCATTATATGGCAAGAGAGTGTATATGAGTGAGGGAAGGGGGCCAAAATCATCTTTTATAAGGATGTCACTCCCATCATAATGAACCTACTTTTGCAAAAACATTAATCTCTTCATCAGGGGAGAGGCCATGTGACTTCATTACCTCTTAAAGTTCCCATCTCTCAACACTATTGTACATGAACTATGGGGCACATTCAAACCATAGCCGTATTATTTCATAGTGATCCATGATTCTATTTTAATAGAGGAATTTAAACCTTTTGACATTTTTTAACAAACTTTTCAAACCTAAATTCTACATTAAGTCTTTTTAACCTGAAACTAACTTTTTGGTTTGCCAGAGGGGTTTCTGAAAGATCTCCAAAAATCTGCTGTCTCTCCTTATTAAAAAAAGAGATACTAAACAAATTAGGCTTATTTGATATGTTAAATTATACAGGAAGCATTGTCCAAAATTTGTTGTGTAACATTTTTTGAGTTATATTTGTATAGATATGTTATTAATTAATATGTGTTACAGAAACTATATGAAATTCCTAGATATCTGATATGTCCTCGTATGATGATATATGTCACTATTTTGGTTACTATGTCAAAATGGTGTATGCAACAGAAGATAACCAAATTTTCTTGTCAGTGATAGTTTTTCATCTTAAAGGATATTTATGGAAAAGAAGTCCTCCCGACTACAGGTTTCTAATAACTTTAAGATCATGCTGGCTGGGCGCTGTGACTCACACCTGTAATCCTAGCACTTTGGGAGGCCGAGGCAGGCTGATCATGAAGTCACAAGTTCAAGACCAGCATGGCCAACATGGTGAAACCCCATCTCTACTAAAAATACAAAAGAATAGCTGAGCATAGTGGCAAACACCTGTAATCCCAGCTATTTGGGAGGCTGAGGCAGGAGAATCACTTGAACCCAGAAGGTGGAGGTTGGAGTGAGCTGAGATCGCATCTCTGCACCCTAGCTCAGGCAACAGAGACTCCGTCTCTTTAAAAAAAAAAAAAAAAAAAAAAAAATATGCCACTGGACTGGGTAAGAATGTCGAGACCTGTAATGAAGAAACTAACTAATGGACTCATAAAATTGCTAGCCCAAGGTAATCAAAACAAGAATTCATTACATGGGACTATATAAAGTGATGAGGATTTTTTAATGACTTTTATATCTATAGCTTACAGTAGTTTGATATATGTAGCTTTGTAAACAGACTTGAAACATTTATCTTTTTCTCTGTACCCAATCCCTTCAGAATTTAGAAACTCTTAGTGACTCTTAATTTTCATGGCAGTATGTTTGTGAACATGTGTTCAACAGAGAATTTGTTCTCTTTGTAACAGGATACAATTGGAAACATTGATTATATTGTCATGGCTTTGACTGAAATATCATATTTTCAGATATGATAAGACAACTTTAAGAAACTAAGTTGTACTGTATAAGACAACTGTTCATAAAGCCCTTAGGAAAACTGGTCTGATATCTGACTTAAACAGTTCCCAGTCTTACAGGTGAATAAGGAACATCACTTCCTGGCAGACCCAGGACCTAAAAGTATTTGGGGGATTTCAAAAGAGGAATTCCCCCAAGTCTCAGTCACAAAGAATAAATTTGATGACAAGTCCTTGGTTTGGCTTTGCTTCCTATTTCCAAGAGGCTTTTAATGTTGCAATTTAAATTTTTTTTATTAAAAGTTTCAGCAAAGCAGACTTTTAAAAGGCCTATATGGTCAATCACTATTCTTGCTTCACTTATGTCAAAAATGTTTCCAGATTTTATAAAACTTGCCTTATTTGGCAAACAAATTAGTCTTATTTTAATTATTATTTCTAAAAACAGAGATAATTGTGGGGAGAATTTCTATTTCAATAAAAACTATAACATATCGATGGAATGTTGAAGAGTACCAGGTGAAACTTTTCCTCTTTGCAAACTAGCTTCTGCCATTTTGTGCATTTCATCTATTTCTAATTTTTCTTTCATCTTGTTTTTCTTTCTTTCTTTCTTTCTTTTTAGGTGGGGTCTTGCTATGTTGACTAGGCTGATCTCAAACTCCTGAACTCAAGTGATCCTCCCACTTCCGCCTCTTGGGTAGCTGGGACTACTGGCATATGCCACCACACCCAGCTTTTTCTCTCACCTTTCTGACCTGAAATTACTAAAAACTAAAATTTCCTTTTTTTGAAGGCTTGCAAACTAAAATTGGACCACTCTATACAGACCAGAAAAAATCACAACAGCATATATATGAACAATCTTCAAGCCTATTGTCATATGGAACACTCAGACATCACTTTAAGACATCCAAACTAAAGATACTTCAAACCCAATATTTAGAAATTGTTTTCAACTGATTGTCCACTGGATTCAAAAACTGGATGGATTTATAATTTCTCCAACCATTAATATTTGTTTTCTTTTGTTTGCCTCAGAAATATCTCTTGTTCTCACTTCATACAGAGACATTAGAGACAAAACTTAGATGGAAGCCCTCCTACAACATCACCTCCTAAAATGAGACACAGCATCTTAACTGGACTAAAGTATTCTTAATACTAAGAAGCTGATTAAATAAGATATTGGAAAATAAACATAAGTGTGTTATTTTCTGCTTGTTTCCATTTATATTTTTTTTCCCTTTGCAGATCTCTTGCTACTCAGCCACTAACCCAATTCTTCTTTCTACAGCCACCAAGTCAACCCTTTAATATGTGAAACATCTAGGAAGTTTCAGACAGGGGAATAAAGGAGTTAAAAATATATCAGTCTGCTGTATTAACTATTTAAGTTAAAGGCACTTAGAAAAACAGAAGGAGCAAAAAGATCACTTTGACCTTTATACTGTTTGTTAAAAGCAGAAGAAATTCCCATGTGAACCATACCCTCCCTATACTAGAAAGATGCCAGGATAAGAAGTCAAAACCAAAAGAATTCTTATACAGATCTTGTGAAAAGTAATTTTTTTTTTTTTTTTTTAGAAATGGGGTCTCACTATGTTGCCCAGGCTGGAGTGCAGTGGCTATTCATAGGCTCGATCCCACTACTGATCAGCACGGGAGTTTTGACCTGCTTCATTTCCGACCTGGGCCGGTTCACCCCTCCTTAGGCAACCTGGTGGCCCCCTGCTGAAGTTAGTGCA